GGATGAAAAAAGATGAAGTCGTCAAGATACTACAGGAGAACGTGGAGAATTTTCACGCATGGAGCGAGACTTAGCACATGAAAGTCAACGTCGAAAATCTGTGGTGATGAACACAATGTTATCGTAGCGAAGAATATATGTACCCTCACGGCAGTATCTCCTGGACAATCGACTACTTGAAATTTTGGATGTGGAAAAAGGTTTCGACGTACCCTTACTAGACAGCAGTCACTTTTCTAAAGTCGCGGCATGGACAATATTAGTCATGGGCGCGATAGAAAGAACGTTTATTAGCTTGAATGCAGATGTCTTGGCAAGGTATATAGGACATTTGTGCGGCCGAACCTGGAATCTGCGGTGCAGGCTTTGCGGACCCAGCTTCTGAAGGATATAGATATTCTTGAAGTTGTGGAGCCGCGTGCTCCAATGGCTGTTCACAAACTCAAAAAACCTAGGTAAGAGCAACGTCTGACGGCCTTGAACCTATATCACCTCCACTATAGACAGGACAGAGGTGAACTCATAGCAACGTGTCAGTTGCTGAGATGACTTAATCTTGATGTCGACTGAGAAACGTTTTCTGCAATGGCATTAATGACTTATCTCATAGGAATCGATTACCGGTTTAAAAAGGGCCTGTGTCAGTGGGAGGCGATTACACGGTTGAAATATGCACTAGCCGGATGACGGAGTGCAGAGTCCGCATTACTCACCCCGAAATGAGACCAGGCGGAAAAATCACCGAGCAAAAAGTCCATGACGTTTGGAAATGGATTTGGTGGATTCAACACACGTAAAATACCTAAAGCTGCTTTAGATGCAAAAAGGAGCAATAATTTATTAAAACGATAAGCAAGTGTGCTGAATTTTAAGCGTCTGTGTAACGAATTCTTAATGGCAACTGAGGTAACGGAAAAGAGCTAGCGACATTTAACTGTACGCGTAAGAGGAAGACGTAAAACGTCCCAGTGACTGAAAATAAATTAAGGCTCTGTCGTATGTTTGTACTACCAATTCTCGAGTATTGTTGCCCACTCTTTGGTTTGATGAATGAGGCTAGTCGTTCAAAAATTGAAAATGTACAAAGACGGTTTTCTAAAAAACTTTTAGATAGGGAACATCCACATATCTCCTACTCATATAGATGCCAGCTAATAAACCTAAAATTTTTATGAATTCGAAGACCAGAAGCAGGCCTCTGTCTCCTCTTTCGCCTTAATAATAGTTCAAATCTTCCTCGGATTTCAGCATTTACCCCTAGTAGTCGCCCATACCATCTTCGCAACTAGTACTTGATTACACCTCCGTCAGCTTCCTCCACCTCTAAGCGCTCTCTTTTTTTCGCCTCCAGATATACTTTCCTCTGGGATAACCTTCCAATAAATATAAGATCTTCAGATGATCTACATACATTTAAGACAAGGTAACGCCTTTATATGAATACTGACTCGATTTAACTTTTATTTTCGTCATCCTTCCCGGGCAACTTTCTCTATGACACTGAGACAGGGGCACCAGGAATTTAGGACGCCGCCATTAACTTTCCGTATCTGCTCACATTTCCATCCTTTGTGAGTCGTATTGATTACTAAGATCTTTCACCAGAAATGTTAATTTTTCCAATTTTTTCAGTTCATGACTCGTGCCTCACAGAATGCGCTCTATGGACGCTCATGGTGAAACCTTCTGTAGTCACCATATACTAGTAGTCTGGTCGCATCGCCATGGTACCATCCTCGGATGGACTCGGATGAATGTAACCGACCGCACCTGGGTTCCTATCGCCTCGAGACTGATTTTCGATTTCGCCACCTATTGGCCTTTTTCAAGGTCACATACAGGCCAGTCCTGACTGACCCGCCTACTAACCCTTTCATGAAATCCGTTTTACATTGCCATATACAGCTGACATTTATTTCTGCACTGTCGATGTCCGATTATAATCCATTATATGCCGCCACATGCAGGCCAGTCCTGCCCGCATTGTTCTGTTATTGCTTTTTTATCGAGGGTTTTTTTCCTCCTATAAAGTTAATCCAATCATTTTAAATTTTCGTGAGTTTTTTTTCACTCCTCGTTAATCATATATTTTAACGGACTACTAATTCGAAAACGATGAATTGCGCTTTGTACAGATTTTGCCTACCTCGTCTTAAAATTCGCATGTAAATTTCTTTTTACTTGCTTTGATAGGACCCCGACGGGTCTTTAATGAACAATTATTATTATGTAGCACCGAGGGTGATCAAGATGCTTAAAAGATTATTTGGAAGAAATTCACGTCTATTCACATGCGCAGGCAGTAATGTGTCCTTTTCTTAACCGGCAGATCCACACTGAATCAAGACGTATGAGTTTTCAAACTCTTTGCTTAGCCAAACTTGTGTGTTTGGCGGCCCAACTCCCTTGGTAAAAAGATGCTGAACAGACCCTATTGTCTGTAGGTCTCCAACGTCGCGAAGACTAAATAAAATGTCCTATCCAGATAGGTCAAACACAGACTTTACCGATACAGATTTTAATATCAGTAAGTTTAAAATTTCGTAGGCTAAATATGGTCGTGCATCCTGCTCTGGTGATAATCAGGGAGCAAAGCTCAGAAGGATTAAGATCCTTAGATCATGGGAAATCTAGATCCTTAATAACTCCGGCCGAATTAATATCGTAGTCGTCACTGTTTAATTTATGTTGGGGATCCTAACAAATAACTGTAACTGGGTATCTGTGCCTTCAAGCGAAATGTGATATGCACAAAATACCACTGTGAAAAGACCCAAAGGTTTTTCTATAAGAGTTTTAGCACGAAGTTGTGAGCTGCCTGTTAATATCAGTAGGTAATTTTCAAATCATAATCAGTTTTGAAATGCCTACCACTCAGAAGAAAATGAGGCGCATCGCTGACAAATGCACTCTCCATGCATTTAGAGTTGGAGAAAACAGTAGAGTTCTTAAGTGACGGCATTCGTGAGCCCAGAGAAGTAGCCCTAAAGTTAGAAGTTTACCATCTATTCTACAAGAGAAAAGATTTGAAACAAGAAAAGGATAACCAACACGATCAAAATCCTTAGTGAGATTGCAATAGACTGTGTGAGAGACAGCAAATCTGTCGCTTAAGTTGTAAAATGTAATCAATGAAACAGAACTGGGAGGTGCTGCTAGATAGACCTTAATGTATATCCATGCTCAGGCACACTCAGTAGGTTATTCCTCGGTTAGGTAGTTCAGCTCAGTTAGGACTCGGCGAGGTCTCAAAGATTTCAGAAACTGCATGGAACGTGTTGACTAGACGAAACTCGTCAAATGGCGTAGATTGGCTGTGTTTGGGGATAGATAGTGCGTGTAATCACTACCATTAACTGGAAGCGTTTTCACTTTCGAGAGCGAAAATAAATGCCCTGCGCGAAAGGGACGAAAAGTCTCATATGTGTGAGGCTTTGCGATATGGATGGTGGCACAATGTATGCCAGAACTGGCGATGTTAAACGCACCACTTGACTATGGTTGCTTCCCAGTGCGAAGAATCTATAACTTCGATAAGTTTGCAGATCTCAACTCGCACATTAGGAATCGGAACGGTCGAATTTTCGATAAACGCAAAGGATGAAAAAGCATCAAAGTTATTAACAAATGTTTGATATTGGACACGAAGTTTCTAAGGGCGTCCCAGGCGATGAGATGCTTGGTTTTTTCATTAGTTACTATTGCAAAAAGCCTGAGTTTCAGACATGTAGTGATTGATTTTGGTAACTTAAGCCTATTTGACCAGCTTCTTCGCATGCTCAAATATGCAGCAGGTAAAGCTCAACACTTAAATGCCCGTACATTGATGAAGACAATGAAACAACTCTCGAAGTTAACGGCTTTCAAGGAATTCCAGTGAACTGCAGCGACGACGACAACCGTTAAGTATATGGGTTTACAAACCGGGTTTTGGGATATGTACGCGCCGTTGTCTGTACTGCCTTCATCGTAAGTTCGCGTTCGCTATTTGACAGTTTTCGTGGGTTTTCGACTGAACACCAGCTTAGGAAAATATAAAATTTGGAAATTGGAATTGAGTGCCGGAATGTTAAAATTTCAAGTAAGATCAGAACTTTAAATTCACATTTCAATCGGAGCAAAGCCGATTATGTCTAGTAAGAGCTTAATGCTCCTTCTTTAAAAGTTTAATGTTTATAAAACATAGCTTTTACGTTGCGCCTAACGTAGGTATTAGTTTAGGTCACAAGAATGTCGAAAGGCCGAAATCAGAGCCGGAAAGTGATCTACAAATTTATTAAGGTGTCGGATATTTGAAGAAGTGCGGATCATTACGCCGGTTTACTGTTTGAAAAAACGCAGGTCGTGGATTTTATAAAGTGGATGCCTACAAGTCTATTCTTTGTGTCACCCTGGCCGCAAAGTGCTGTGTTACTCGATGACACTTAAATGTGCCTGTTGAATGAATTCCCGTATCCGATGAGTAATCCGAAGTTGCCGTCTTAGAAGTAGGGATCATCGAAATTTTCCCCAGAAAATAGTAAACCAAATAATTTTCCACATCTAAACAATGTGGTCAGCAGTCCCGGATATACGTGGGAATATTGACATCAATACTTCTGACAAGGCTTTACTGAACTAATGAAAGAACAACTGGAATCTATGTTGCAACTGCCTGAATGGCAATCCGGATGTAATGAGCTAAGCGGGCGGATTCAGAACTCAAAAAATAAGTTAAAGATAAAAACCTTTGCATCGTTTGGGCTGGAGATTAATTTGTGCAATGCTGCAATAAAAGAAACGTTATATTTTAGTTATTCTTCAATACCCAAGGGCATCATTAAAACTCCCAACAGCATCATAGGAAAAGAAGAACAACGGGTTTTTGTAAATAATTTAAGGGAATATGATAACTTCGAAACGGGAACACTGCAATGTCAAAGATCACTGCGTACTTTCGTCAAAGTGCTCGTGTTTTAATTGACCGTTTGGCGGCACACAATTTTAAATTACGCGAAAACATGATGGGAGAAGTTGCATCAAGTCATTTGTGGTAACCATCATTTTTTAATCAAAATAAGGCATTGTTTAAGACAAAAAGCCCCAAGCTTTTGTATGCCAATTTTTGTTTGTATCTTCGTGTGTGTCCAACAGATGTTTAGCACGATTATTGTAAAAAATGAGAAATATTTTAAAAATTGATGGTTGAGGGATACCAGTGAATGATTCTAGGTAACAGGCATATGCAAAAACTTATGAGTTACTTTTAAGAAGTAATAAGAATGCATCGACACTCCTATTAAAGATCTTAATAAGATTTTCGTTGAAATTACTTTTCTCTATTATAACACATATTTGTTACTGAAAGGTGCGCAAAATTAATTATTTTTGTTCCGCTTTCACATGTTCTTTCAAAGAAAAATGCATATTTGAATTTTTTTGGTGACATGCTTAAGGCCCATCGGGTGTAAAATACTTAAATGTTACTTAATTCACATATCCCTGCCAGCACCATCCCAACACAGCCCGGTCCGGTCCAATTTGGGTAAGTTAGGGTACGCTTGGCTGGGTTTATCAACAACGTTGGGTCACGATGTAGCAAGAGCTGGTGCGACCAATTGGCCCAATCAAATAATTATATCCATTTTTCAATTAGGTATCTGGGACGCAGATGATAAACAAGGCCTTTTATATGAGTGGACTGATGCGGAATACTTAAAGGCAAATTAAATAATTTCACAATATCATAGCTTTTCTCTAACATCGTTATTTACAGAAACGAAACGTTTAGTCTAAGTGTCCCTGACAGCACCGTTTTGGCCCACTTTGGCTGAGTTGGGCTACATGGTTGGGCCACGGTGTGGCAAGGGCGGATGTGGCCCAATTGGCCCAATCTCCCAAAAAAGTGCGCAGGGTAGCTCGCCTTTTGACGCTTTTCTATTTCTCGTAATAATACAGACATTAATATCACAGACCAGAAAGGTGATAGATTACGAACCACAGTATGGGATGGGGTGAGACGAAGTTAAGATGAACGACAACCAATAACCGGTGTAAATTCAGACAGGCCATTATGACGGGGTGTTCAGACAAAAAGAGCTACTTTAGATACTTAATCTTATGTAGATAGGTCATAATATAGCTTATCAAAGCGAGTAAATGAATACTTTGGAACATGGGCTTGTTTCTGTATTAATCAGGTATTGGGGCACGTGTTAGCAGGAAAGTGATTGTCTCCCAAAACCCCGACAAACGCTTTTATTTTACGTTGATTGATAAGCAGCACTGCAATTTTCGCGAATACTAGTATGTTGAGAAGCCAGAGTACGAGCTAGACGCTCCTACACTTCAGGTGTTTATCTGCTAGTAACAGTAATGCAAATGTTGGACATTAACAAAAATCAAATAACTGACGTACGTTTTGAGCAGGCTGAATAAGAGGATATTCAGCAAATACAAATAATGCGTGGTCAAATGTGTCCTACGATTTTAAAATGAAATGAGCAGTGCATCTCAGCTGAAGTTTTATTCGTTTGGATTATCCTGAGTGCTACTTTGAAAGGCGCTCTGTTACTGAGATGTGCAATTTTTGATAAAATAGACCAGAGAATTCCATTTAGACTAGTACAAAAGTATAAATAAAATTAATATTTCTTGTTTCTAAACAGAGTTCATAGTCCTGGAACGTTTTAGTAGTTTCAAGGTATTTACTCGTTTGTATTAACGAATAAAGCTGCGCATTATTACCGATTACTTTAAGCATGTCACTCACAATTGAGTAAAAATCAACTTAACAAATACATAAGTGATGTCAAACTTCTAAACTCTTTGTTTCATTATCTGAATGTATATTTGGACCAGACAAACACAGGAGTTTTCAGTTTTCGCAGTCGGAAATTTTGTTAAACTGTTAGATTAATCAAAGCGGCAGCGGGTTCTAGTTAAACTACTCAAATGGCACTCCGGATCAGCACTTTTTATTTTATTGCTAATGTATAGTGGTTAAATGTTTGATATTTAATGTCTTCTACAAAACCTCCGAGTGTTTTTCTCTCTTTCGAGGTCGGACCTACTGAGAGAAGTTCAAAATAATGCCCTGTTTCAAAATCAACAGTCGGGTTATGGAAGTCCTGCATTCAATCTGATTTTACTGGGGAAGCAAAATTCAGGCAAGAACTCACTGATTGCCAGACTCCAAAATCTTGAGAAAACAATTCACAGCAATGGTCTTCACTACTATTATATAGATATGAGAAAGCCGAACAGCGAAGGTATCTTGAATTTTTTCTGCAAGTAAATTGTTGTTTTCTTTCTCAAGTTTTATTCAATTTTTTTATTTTTCAGTTAGAGAATTAAAGTTTTTTGCTGTCTTCAGAACCAATGAAAGTTGGCGCCTGGTGTTTGGACACCGATGTCAACATGAATCTGCATCTCCGGTTTGCCTTGAATAAGAACACCATTTGGAGTAGTCTCATCGTAATATGCGTTAGTATGGCTGAGTTGTGGAAGGCTGAGGATAGCATCTCGGATATTGTACAACAACTGCACAGCCATTTGGATTATCTTGACTTGGATGAAGAAGAAATGACCGAGCTGCAAGAAAGTCGTAAGCATCTGCTTTTACTCCGATTGAACTGTTAATTTACTGTTTACCACATAAAACTCTAATAATATCTTACCGAAATGCAAAAAATGTGTTGCATGCCCAAAGTTCGCTAGATCGATGTCAACAAATAATTTGTTAATTTTGGGTGGTGTTGATAAGGAGCGCAGTTGTGTAAAGCCTAAATATCAAAATATGGACGTTTTTAATCAGAAGAGCAAATTAGACTGACATGTTTGCGCATTTTACTTTTTCACTCAAGTCCAGCGTCAGTTTCAGTTGTACGTCGAACCCACTCGCCAAACGAACGACCCCAACAGTGAAACGGTGAAGACCAGCGGTAACCTGGAGCTTCTTCATCGAATGAGCACTGCAGTGCATTCCAGCGGGATGCCTGTCAACAGTCTTCATCCGGCTGACGTCTTGGGCACCGCCAACGATACTGTGCTTGTGCCGATACCGGAAGGCATTTTCAAGGAGAAACTCGCTGTACCAGTGATCATTCTAGTCACAAAAGTTAGTTTTTGTCAATGAAGTATGTTTTAGTAATCACAAAATTGTACAAAAGTATTTTGTGACTTTAAACAACGCTACAGCTAAATACCAGTTGGGCGGCGGAGTCCCTTTTAGAAAGTGGTTTTTATTTACAGGCCAGAAGTCAGATATTGCCTTTTATTTTTTGCAGTGTTACGAATAACATGCAAACACTGTCTCTCCCCAAGACGGCGATTTGATATCAAGCCAACTTGTGCCCATTTGATAACGTTATTTTCCATCCTATACCCAGTGCAAGTCAGTTTGTTTATTCCTGCTCGTACTCGGGGACTGACACACTGGTTTGGTTTGATTGAGACTGATGTTTGATGCGGTTGTTTGGTCCTCAAAATGATTTCAAGTCCCATAGCGTCCCACACACATTCGAGTCAAATGCACTGATTGTTTAGTAGTCATTAAGAAGACCCGTCGGTGACATTCTGGAAATGACTCATTTTTAATGAACAAATTTGGCAAAACGCATTAAGTTATCCCATGATTTGACAGTCCTCCTGTCCAAGGTATTTCAGAAATCAATCAGACTAATTACACTTTAGAAGAACTCCCTAGATTAGGTAGGACTAAATGAAACCGGCTGAATTACTGGCTGACCAAACACTCCCTTTGTTCTTTCATGTCCTACCCACACTAAGCGTGGCAAAACCGCCTATTTTTTGACCCAGGTCAACATGCACCTCTTAAAGTAGAATTAAAGTATGGCCACAGAAAAGACCTACAGGATCGATTACGTTCCAAGTGAGAAGGCCAGACTAAGCTAGCGAATCCGAAGGATCGACCCGGCACCTTTTGAGCACTTACAGTGATGCGCGTGCAAGCGACACGAACTTAGTAATGAAAATTGGATTCAAATAGAACATCTCAGTTCAGATATAATTCAGCATCGTTGATTCATTTTACCAGCTGACGGCTGTCAAAACCACAATATTTATGATGCTCACACCCGTCAGAAACGTATTAAATTTTTTCTAAGATGAAAATCTTAAAAAGAATTATCTTCTAACAGGAAGCAATTATTATGCGTTTCGTCCCCCTCTTTCATTTGCGCTATTCCTTCCACTGACAGACAAAAATTCAAGTAAATTGCGTGTCTCCTCGCCCAGTGATGGTTACTGGAACGTGCACTTGATTAGAACCTCATCAGATCTGAATTTGTTGCGGTCTACGATTTAGTCAAGACGGCTGGACACAGGAGCTGACCACCACAGAATCGTCACCCGGTTTCAAATAGTAGGTTTGCGGGACAAGCGGTCGACGTCTAAGTCAAATTTTGATGGCTTTACGGTGGCCGTAATGCATAGAGACACATCTTATATGTTTAACATTCAGCAGCGCTCGTGAATACAATGACAGGCCCTGGTGTGCCATTTCTGTCATCGGCGACACTGTCGCCATTTCCATCTCTTTTAATGCCCCATTATTTTTCCAAGCTAGCGGCATGGAGCTGCGAATGATGATGATGATGAAGAGGAGGAGGAGAAGGTTGAGGAGAAAGAGGTGGATGATGATGATGATGATGATGATGATGATGTGATAATTACAACGATGAACAAGACCTTTGTCCCATAGATTGTGTCTCCTTCTTCACAACTGCTTCCTGGGACACGTCTTTTTGCTTCTATTGGCGATGAGCTGGCTCTTTGTAATTGAAAACACGTACATTAAAAACAAAAGGACTTTCTTTCTTCTCCCATAGGCGGATGTCATAAAAACACTGGAGCAGGAAGCTGGGTTCACGGACGATACCTTCGACGTTCTACAGTGGCGCCTACGAGCAAAGGCCCTTGAATGTATCCTTTTTTATTGGTGCAAAAATGTGTCATTGAGACACACAGGTTTTAATCCCCAAAGTGGTACCAACTTCGTTTGGCAATCAGAAATCTCAGTGGGATCCATGAGCCAGAAAATTTACACTTTGTGATAAGGATGCAGATATCATGTATTGTCGGAGTACATTTGCAAGCCACGAGGTATGATAGCGTTGAACGCAGTCTCGAGATTTTATAAGAAGAAGAAGGAGATATGACATCAGCACTGTAGATCGTCAGCAAGGGAACATTGAAATGTCCAGAAAGAGTACTACTCGAGTAACTGCCGCGACCGTTGCGAAATCCTCCACTCGTACTCCCTACAATATCATATCAGTTATATAAACAAGGAAACGGATCCACAAGTCAATATCTGCGACAACAGAGGGTCGGCTTTGTCAGATAGATCAGATTTACCGTGTTGAAGTTTTGTAGTCGTAGAGAGCCAAGAGTTTTCTACAGTGACACACCACTAAAAAAAATCATAGGAGGACCTTCAGTATGCGTGAACATGATGTCATCTGAAAGATTAATTGAGGTCTGATGCTCAGAAGCGTATGAAACCAGCGGTCACGTCACATTCATATGTGGCTTTGAATACTCGAACGCTTATTATTGGACAAAGTTTCAGCTATGACAGCAGTTAACGCCAGAAATTTGCGATTTATTTATCTACGTAGCTGTCGATCGTCGTCTAACTAAAAAGCACAGCAAACCAGTTTTAGATTCTGGGTTCGCTGGAGGTCGGATTTAGGATTATCCCCGGCAGCAATAAAAACCTAAGAATTCAGAATTTCCCAACCTTTGGTATATCTACAAGTAATGCGTGTTTCCATACCCCTAAGTTAAGGTAGATTGCTAACCACATGACAGTTTGACTGTTGTTGCCCGAGCTTCTCCCATCAAAATTATCCTTATCTGGCCAATTTCACTAGTGGGAGCCGCGTTAGCGTACATTTCTGTGAAAGCGGATACCAACTGCGAGCTCTTTACACGCTATCTGCGGCATCGCTTCTTCAATACCAGCTTCCATAGCCCGGCCCAGGTTCTGGAGCATGAAACACTCTTTGTGTGAGTCTTGTCTTTACTTGAAACCCTGGCCTTTTATTGAAACAACCCTCTACAAGATATATCGGTATTTCCTCCTGGATTAAAGCACCCACGGTATGAGCTGGACCTCCAGTAGGCCTTAAGTAAAATCTTCGAGTGGTTTTTAAAGTAGGAAACACTAACTGTGCAAGACTGCAGTAGAGATGGTTGTTCACTTAGCGGTGCTCTGGTCTTTTGACGCTCACTTCATCCATACGATTACTCGTCACCATTCCCTATGTCGCTACTAGCGAGAACAATAGACCAGAAACGCGCTATGTGTAAGTCTTCCTTTTAATTGAAACTTCGCCTTCTTATCGAAATAGCCCTCCATGACATACATGTTTACTCCTTCCTGGATAAGGACTCTCACGGTACGAGATAGACCTTATTAGGATTTGAATAAAATCAATAAGGGACTTTTGAAGCATAGAATGCTAACGCGTGTGGCCTCCGGATGACCGGCTCTTCAGCTATCTAGTTACTGACTACTTCTCATTATGCCGCGGCTTGTAAAAACAATTGACCAAAGACAAACGACAAAACGGCATGTTCCTAGTATATCCGAGGCGCCTCGAAATAACTGCATTTCAGATGCATAACCTCCGTTTGTACGCACCCAATAAATAGGAAAGAAATTACTACCACGGAAAAATATGATTGGCTTAAATGCAACAAAACAATTAGATGAAGGTTGCGAATTTCCCAGGTAAGCGGGCCGTCGTAAGCACTAGATGTTTCACACTTCAGGGTTAGGTACGACTGCCTGACGACGGCTAATAAACCAGAAGTGGCCATTCCAATATCACCTGCGGAAAGAAATTATCTGTCTGAGGCGCCTTGAAACAACTGCATTTCAGATGCACAACCTCGGTTTGTACCCACAAAATCAATAGGAAAGAAATTACTACCGCTGAAAAAATATGATGAGTTCAAATGGAACAAAGCAATTAGGCGAAGGTTGCAAATTTGCCAGGTAGGTTAGCTGTCGTAAGCACTAGGTGTTCCACACGTCAGGGTTAGGCATGACTGACTGACGACGGCTAATAAGCCAGAAATGGCCATTCCAGTCTCCATTTTCTTTGTTGGTAATAACATCCTGCGCCTGAGATTCTCAAAGAAGGAGATAATACGATGTCTATCCCTTCAAAGTAGTTTAATTTGACGCAATGTCTGATCGGATGTGTTCTAGTTTCCTTCACACTCTCGGTCACTGATGGTGCTCTCACATTTTCAGCTCATCCTAACAAGTTCTCCTTTGCTAGAATGTCCTAGTCGAGAGCACTTGAACGGGTCTCATTACGATAACATCGTCCAGTTGAACGATAGCTCGCGATCATGTTTGGAATATATGGCCGGTTGTTAATTTAATCGCTTCTTCCCATCGTTTTTTTCGTTTTCCAACCACACTTCACAACCTCCGTGTATCCCCTTCTGACGGGCGTTTCAGTCCGGCGGGTTGGGATAACCATATGCGACTGAACACCCTGCGAAGCAGCATCAACGACCAGATCATGCTGGAGGCCGAGAAACTCATCTCCTCCCCACCTCCGAGGGATTTGCGAATGGTCCTGGCATGCGCGGGAGCTGGTAGGTTTATTTCCCATCGCCAAACATTCCAGCATTTTAAATAGTTGCCCCGTATGCCCGCAGCGAAACTTTTGCGAGGTTTGGTTCTGCCGCCTCGCCTGAGTGATACCACCTGCTAAGTTTACTAAAACAATTTCAGTTAACATGCCTAACCAAGCTACAGTCTGGATTAGGAAGGGAAAGAGAGCGCAAACAGAACTCGAAGCACGCACAGGGAAGCGAGTAAACGTTGCATTTAGACAATCCCCCCCGACAAAGCCGCTAGCTGGACTGAACAGATATGGAGGGCGCAATCAAATCTAGAAGGCCACGGAGGGAACTGCGTGGTAATTCGTAGTGCACAGCTACTGAAGTGGAACTAATGGAGTTCCAACTCGTCCGAAAAATGCCATTAGCAAGCCTACTTAGACACTTGCTGGTTTGGGATAGTAAAGAGGACGCAATCATTGCCCGAAGCGCGCGCAACCAAGCGCGTGTGAACTACTACCTTAAAGTTAACAAGGCTGGCGTATAAACACTCCTCTCCCCCCTGACACAGTCACTCGTTGGATTAAAATTGTAGGACAGATGCCAATACGTGATATTTGTAGAGTCCGTGTATTCGCATCCAGTAAAAGCTTTTAGCGAAGCTGACCATATGGTATCAGAACCAAACCTCGTCGAATCTCTAGGGTGCCTTTTGAAGACCTGAACGCGTTTTCGTGTCGATGGCTTCACACAGTGAGTGAACCAACCTGCCCCACTGAAGGCCGTACTGGAATATCGATGCAGTCACCTCAGAAAAGGCAGTATACGTCAGAATACTTCAGCCTGCAGGAAAAAGGGTGATTTTGGAGCGCGAAGTGGAAAGCGTGGCCAGGCCGCGGAAAGTTATTGATTATTTGTGATTGTTTGTAAAGCGCAACTACTTGTCGTTGCATGGTAGCGAGTCACGACCCAGGTCACGGCAGACATGTCCCCCCCCCAAGTAAAGAACAAATATCATCAACGCTAGGCGTTACGGTTCTGGTGTGACTCGCCTCAAGCATTTTCCAGCTTTTCGGGTGCATTTATTTTGAAATTATCTAGCGAACTCAGGAGGTAATCTTCGCGCAGGTTATTAGAGTCAACTGCGAAGTTTGTGTTGACTTTGAAACCGCAAACTAGCAACTTCAACATAGTTTTCATACGCGAAATCCATCATACGATATCATACTCGTTGAAGAAAGAGTCACAATGCCGAAGACCTAGCAGTAACGTTTACTAAGAACGTAGGCCCATTTTTCATCACTTCCTCTCGTTATCATAAATAAACCGCGAGAACTCCGCCCACCTGTTGTCCCCGAAATCTCGCACGTGGTTTGCGATATAATTCCACTTGCAAAGGAACACGTGCCAATCTTAGTAGACTTCATTGGAACGAGTCTTCGTAAGGGAACATTCGAAGTTCTGTTGACATTGAAAAAAAACCCAAGTGGATGACGTCAACCTTTTACCTTTTTAAGAAGCTGATTGTTGAACATCCAGCCGATTAGTTGTTCATTGGGAGAACAGATTGTATCCTTGTAATAGACGAATGGCTCCAAACAAAGAATGGACACACCATGGCCCCATGCTTTGCTGTCGACCCATCAGGGTACGGAGTATTTCAGTGTATCTTCTACTGAACGAAACAAATTTCGTGCACATCAACTATTTTTTCACATTTAACTCATCGACTTCGTTGCTGCATACGCACCTTATTGGCAGTGCTTTTTCGAATCAAAAAGATATGTAACTAAGAAAAACCAACAGTCTGGATCACAACGAGACAGATAATGGAAGGTTTTTCTTAACTGTTCACTGTGGATTGTTACCCACTAACTAGAGACAAGACAATAGCAACTGACCACCTACTATATCAAGTTGGAGAATCTCTCCGAACTGTGCTATTAGTTGGAAAAGGAGCAGTCTACCTTGTGACCAAGGAATTGTCAGGCTCCTTGTAGTCAACTGTAAACAAGTCGGGTCGGGCGCATATTTGCGGACGGTTAGATGTTACACCATGGTCAGGACATTTCCGGCAACGTTTCTATAATGATTTACTAACAATTTTCCATTTCTTTCACATAATGATGCTTAACCCTAGGATGCGCATGCGAGCTCTCCATGACGTGGCATATCTGGGACTTAACACCGTTAAATCTGAGCCTCTCGACAAACGATCACAATTCTACTAATACCCCCCCCACCATTTTCTCCGAAAAAGCTAGCTAAATGACCAGACACATAGTGATATTATCTCAGGGCAACTTTTGACTTCCTAGAAACGGGACGTTTACCAGTAAACTTTTTTCCCAGGAAGGTTGGAGTGATAAGATTGGTTCCTGACCTTATAAACGTACTGATTATAGCCATGAGTAAAAAGCATTAACGGTGCCTGTTCCTCTTCCTGCAACAACGGAAGGTCTGTCTGTTATGCGGGCTACGGACTTCATGCTGGGAGACAGTCCTCTCGGAGTCAGCAGTTCTGAGCCGGAGATAGTAGCCGAGGAAGAGCAGATTTTTCTCACAAAGTTATACAACCAACAACAGCAACAACAGATGACCTCCGGACCTAAAGGCAGTCAAGCATCAGAGACCACGGGAAGGCCCATGGTAAGTCTCCTAGTGTTTTAAAGGCCTCGGTGCCGCTGCTTTCTAAAATAACTGCCTGGAGATGAGACAGCATACCGATCACGCACTAGAAATGCTCATTTATTCGTCTAGGCTTTTGAAATTGTACAAAAAACCACCGTAAGGAAATAATGCGAAAAAGAAAATGAGTCGGCTTGTTGGCAGTTTGCTACTAATTAGCTGCTTGGAATGTTCATATGAAGATAACTACGTATAGCTCCGTATGCAGGGGGGAGGTCAGTATGACCTTAGATAGAATTCTCATCAAAGGTATGATCCACCTACAGGGTATGAGAAGACGTTTTCAGGTTTTTTTGCCCACCGTTTTATTTCAGCTCGGAGAGAGTCTCATCTTATGAAATAACTGCAATGGAAACTACGAACTTTGTAATATTAATCAAATCCCCATGCAAGCTTTGTCACGAAAACTACAAACAACCAGTGCTACAAGTAGCGGCCTTTCATATATCAATGGGTTTATTTTATGCCTTGAATACGTGTCAGCTAAAAGCCCAGGCACGTGTTTCGTTGATGTCACCTCATAGAAGGGTTCGGCCTCTCAGTGGTCCCCTGACGATGTCTATGCGTTTTCTGAGATACGGACTTCAGACAGTAATTAAGCCAATAATCTTAAAAATTATTTACTACAGAACATCGGGAGGTGCTCAAATGCTGCGTGAAATCGTTTAATGAAAAGTGAATCATTAAAGACTACCTTACTGCCTTTTCAATAAAAACGGTCAGCAGTCATGATCCCCGGATGTTACATGCCCCAATGAACCTGAATAAACCTCGAACGAGGGTAGCCAGGTAAAAGTCGGAAGCGTCAAACTAGACAACCGTACGTTTTCGCTTATTTATCCTCAGGAGTACGCTAATGTTGGTTAAACTAGGCCAAAGAAGATTGAAGTAAAAAAAACCTAATGGACTATTCTGAGGGAGGGAGAGGGTTGAGATTGTCTAGACAGCGAGGAGAAATTATGGGTCACTTCTGTCACAGCAGAAGGAAGGAGTGTATCGGAGAGTTGTGTCGTGTTTCGTCGCTGCGATTTCGGCGTTGGATTTTGCAGGCAATAACGTGTTAGTTCGATCTTTGGACAGGGCGACAGGAGAACTTAAGCTAAGTTTTCTAAAAGCTCAGCTTAAGTCATAATTCGTTTTGAAGCATGACTTAATACGCCTAAATATATTCACAAGGAAAAGGAGTTCAGAACTCTGTCCTTAATTTAAATCTCTCGCTGGGGTTCACGACAAGATACGAAATTCATTATTCAGATGTGTTGTCAGTTTAAGCAAGCCGGTTGAAAGAAACGTTTGGCGACGAACCTGCACGTGGTTCAAATGGTAAGCCTTTCAAATAAGTGTTTGTGTAGGGGTTTGCTGATAAAGGCAGGCGATGCGAAAATGAAAGTTGTAGTCTTTTATAGCCTTACTGATTATACTCCTCAGCTCGTGGGCAAATATCCATCAATCACCGTCGAGGTTGGTGTTTATCCGCTTTCTTCCCTCGTCGTGATCTTCATTAACTAACTATGTCTAACTGAGGGCATACCAGCGACGGGGGTTTGGCGTAGATCTGCATCTTTACTTGAAGCCTAACCAGTGTAATAGGTTCGATAACACTTCCGTGAAGATCTACTCCAACTATCTATGGCGGGTGGTACCTCAATGTGATAGATGTCAATGATCTAATGAATTAGGACCATTTAAACGCACTTACATCTCCCTTAAGAGTACAGTCACCCCTTTTGCTGAAAAAGAACCGTTTGTCATTTATATACATGATGTTTCAAGCCCACCGGCCGGCGGCCTGCTCATGGAACCTCCGGTACATCCGCAAAGACGCCCAACAAGGAGGCCGTTCTCACTAACTTCTTCTGCTCCCTACTGACGAAACAATCTGGTTCCGAAAGGCCGCGAAGCAAGAGCCCCCTGAGTGGATCCACTTCCCCTGCGGCACCGACTCCCTCAAGGGCATCTCCACTGGGTGAGCATCTTCCCCATCTCTGATCACAGCTACATTTTGTAGGCAAAACTGGTAGAGGACTCACAGTTGCTAAGGAACGTTGACAATCTCACTGGCGGTGACAAAGGAAACCGCACCGGAATTCTCTGATGGCTAAGTGCACTTTCCATTAGTCATGGGGTCTTAGAGTTGGATCATGGGTTTATGTTCTCTAGTCTGATAATCAGAGTCCTACGAGTCACTTGACTTGCTTGAACGCCACCCCATGCGAAGGAAGCAGACCTGGGCGATACAGTAGAAGTGAACGCCGTATTTGATTCTGATATCAGGTCAAAGGGATAAATGCTCCCTATTGCAGTCTTCTTTTATTTCAGTATTCCTTTGCGGCCAGACTGAAAAAGTTCTGGCTTAAAGGCAACCAGAATATTTGGTGAGAAGTAAGCAGACATTATCTTCATCACTTTGGTCAAGTTCATCATCTCTGCTGTCAACGGAAGTGGCTATTCACATCAGCATAATTCTTACTTGGATTACCATCATGTTTCAACGAAAAGTGTTGTCTACGCATTCAATGAATGATGAAAGGTTGGCCCGGCACGGCTTATTTTTCGTCATCGACAACTGTTACACCAACGCAAGGCTGTATGGTCGCATTCTAAAATCTAGTTCGTCGATGATTGAGTAACATTCGCACAACTGCGCTGACGGGATCAGGACAAGATCCAAAATTTTCAGTCATATAGGGAGAAGGGAGAGAGGTGGGGGCCGGCATCGATTTATCCAAGTCACATAACCGACATGGGCGTTTCCGCTTTGGCTCGAAGTCGAAATTCTAAAGGCCCTCTGTTCCATTGTCGAGCGGAGACGCCCATTTCTGACGGGCAGTCGGGATTAGATGAATGTGCGCCAATCCCACATATCCCTAATTAATATCACCGTTCTGTTCTCCTGCTTTTGCAAGCTTCCTTACTGAGGTGCGTTTAATCGCAGAAAATGCGGAACGGCGTACATGTATTCGGTGGCTTGTATTTAACAACAAATAATCCATTAGATCAGGATTCCCGACTGAAAAGTACTCAACTTCGGTGGACACTTAGCAGTCCTTCAAATATGCTGAACTAAAATCCTGGACGAGCCGCCATTAGCAACTGCGTAAATTCGAAAAATATTAGACTCAGAAAAGTGTATTAAGTCGTTTTTGCACGGCGCGATCGCTCAAAAGGAAATTGCGGTAGCCTGCAGAACACTGACACAAGAACGGAAGGAATGGGAGGGGGTAGACTGCGTATTCTAGGTGGGGGTCGCGCACTCGACTCACAGTCATCCAACTTGTATAAATGTTATTAAAAAATCTCTCACCGGAACGGACTGTTTCTCTGATTTCGGACATCGGTCAATCAGTTATGCTTTTTGCTGAATTTCATAATAAAGACTTTGTGGACGAGAATGCTCACGTAATGCCTATTTTTTGCCTTCCTACAAAAAGGAGACATGTAGATTGCTCAAAACGTTTTAAATCTCGCATTTAGACAAGTTGATACCTTTACTTCATCATCGGCAGCTAAAATAGTTCACCTTCCAAGAAACCGTAAGCAAAAGCGATTTCTTCTAGTTCCTTTAAGGTTTTTATTTAAGTGGGGCAACTTTAACCAATCACAACGAGGCCTCTTAGGAGAAACGTACCACAAAATTCGAACGTACTTTGCAATGGAAGTCTGTGGTTTTATGTCTTTAAATATTTTTTCGTTATCGCTTTTTAATTTTCTCAGAAATTGACTACGAAATTGGAGTAGATCAGTTTATTCAAGGTCACAGGCTCAGACCGAGAATATTATGCATGAATATTTGGGCCGAAGTCCATCAGCCACAGCGGGTAACCGCGTACTATTCATTAACTGCAGACAAGCAGCTAGTAGTATACTTTAGGGTAAAATGATACCATACTAACAGCATAGGTACTAGCCAAAAGCTCATACACGCGTGGTTCGCCGATATTCTGCCACTGCATGGCGCAGCTGCAAGGGGTTCGGCTCGTCTAGACTTATAGGCCTTGAATAAACTGATCCATTTCAAGTTCGCAGATAATTTCTGAGGAAATTAAAGAGCGACAACTTCTAAATTGGAGTTTCTACCAGAAAACAGAGAAAGAATGCTGTGGGACCGACTGACGAGCCGTTCTGTAGGGCACACGGTGGAACAAGTTGATCGCGACAATCAAAGTATCGCCCGCGTTGTGTGAATTACCACCTTTCCAAGGGACTCGCAGTAACTTGGACGCAAAATAGTCTATGTTCAGTAATACGTTTGGTTGAAGAATATGTTGGAGCGGAATACGCAGACTACATGCGCGGCAGCCCTTATGTGTCTACGAAATAGGTTGCCTTCCGACTTTCAGGGACTTCTTAATCGCTGCAAGGATTGCATTAGAAAGGGAAACTTCATGTCTTGCCAGTTTTCCAAACGTCCGAATAGTGCCAACCTTGTCAGATACTTTTCACGGTGTTCGTGTGGGATGGGATGTACGCCACATCTACGAAATGCCAGTTTCACTCGCTGATCTTTCTCCTATAGCATCTCAGTAGTTGACGTTTCGCAAGTAATCGCTGTAGCGCAGGACACGCTTCTGAGTGACCCCGCAATACAGTGATCCGCTTTTCATAGTCTGTCTCTTACTCTCCTTGTGTCATCAATCGTGTGTTTTCCGAAAAACCAATAGGATATAGGTCTGGCCGTATATCTGTTACACTGGGTATCGTTAGTTTTAAACCCTGTAGCGAGGAAGCAGCAGTGAGTGCTACCAGTACGTGACGGTGGTCTCAAGGACAACTAGTGGAACATTAGGCGTAGTACAGAGTGACCAACGATTCCAAGACAGGGGTTAATTGGATAATGTCAGACGAAGACACCCAATTCACGCACATCCAGTTAAGTCCCTCTTACTGTATCGGCAGCATTTATCGATCGCTGGTTATTCCTGGCTTTGCCATAGCAGGCCTTGTGGTTTCTCAACGGAACTAGCATCGGCGTTTGATTCCTCTCCAAACCGCAAGAGGTCGCCAATACAAGGCCGCGGTAGTGCTGGTCCACTGTCTTAAGTGGTTGTTTAGTCCCTAACCTAATTGTACCTCCTTTATCCAGAAAATTGATTAATACTCCGCGTATTTCGCATTGTGCTCTCACTACCTTGTCATTTCAGGGCGTGTGACCTTAGGAGGTTAGCGACGATGTCTATAATGTGGTCGTCAACTCTGTCAGAATTTGTCCTCAAATAAAATGATTTAAGAGTGGGGAAGGTACATGTTCTCATCAAAAATGGCAGATTGCGCACGTTACTAGCATGTAAGGGGGTGGTGGGACACTGGGATTGTACCAGGCCAAACTACTGAAATGGAGTTTATGGCGTATTCAGTAGAATGGTAATATCCACTACGTGTATTCAGCAACTTAAAAATGCAACAGCACTTCGTGCATTGGCTTCAAAGCAAACCACCTGCAAGAGTCGTTCGTGCAAGTGTACGCTAGGTGACCGTATCAGGACCGTATCAGGCATAGGTAATCCGAGAAAACACCACCCTCAGCGCTTGGAAAATCACCCATTTTTTTCAAGAAATAGCAGTAAAATTAAGGACATCGTACGGCTTTTTCCAACAGCTTTCCAACGATTCCCGCGGGAGAAGGTTGTGAGGCTGTCGAACTCGATTCTCGTTTCCCGAAGGAGGAACAAGATAAGAAAAACAGGATGGCAACTCAGGATTTTATTTCAATGTGTCAGAACCTATCAAGAAAACAGTATGTCGTCTGGGGGGAGGGAGCACATGGTTATCAGGAGAAAAATGTGCATAGGGCCATGCCAATAGCGGAGATATTAAATTATGATCTCTAGACAACTTCCTGTGGTCATGTGTTGGGCGGGACCTCTGCAGACCAGCAGATGAATTCTCAGTAGGCACCGTGGTTGAGAAGCAGTCTTATTCATCCCCCGCCATTGACCAGTTTTAAGCGAAACGTTAATTGCGCATTCCGAAACCTCCCTATATAAATTTTATACAGATTGAATGTTTGTAAATGGATGCGCATTTCAAAGAAAAACAATTTCGAGGAGGGAAAATGAGGCCAACATTTAAAAAATACGGCCTTTCGCATGCTAAATGTATTTTCGTGAGAGAAACAGTTTGAAAGCGTGGGGTTTTTATATCTGACAAGGAGTTTCTACTCTGGAAGGAGCATCCACAAAGATAAATGGAACCGAAATCTCCATTCTCGACCAATTAGACGTTGTCAGTCAGCTACGCTTAACCTCAGATTTTGGGGCACGGTGGATTCGTACCTGGGATTTTTAGTCATTGATTCGAATGCTCTGTCACTTTGCCTTAGGTCCATTGTCCCGTGCGTTGCCCCAGAGTTTTCTTACGGTTAAGCTGTGCTCTATTTTAACTTTCCAAACTATTATTTTTTGTGATAATTTCATTCCTACTTAATACGACTCAACCGTAATCATTAGACCCATTAGTCGTAACACCGTTACTGTCTTCAAACAATTTAAGTCTTTTTCTTTCGGCAGGAACAAGACTGATTATATGGAAGGATTATACGCGAAAAGATTTTGAGGGCAGGTGTTTAGTTATTTGGGTTAGGGTTGAGAGCTATGCTGGAACAACTAACATTTCTATGCTTCTGGTTATATTTCAAAAAAATGGAGTTCAATAAAGCGTGAATGCGATGGCGCTTAGGCTACCATATTTTGACCCGCCCTCCAACAACTTCCATAACGTCTTTTAGATAAAAATGAGCAATTTTTTCAAAAGTCCAAAATCGCAATTCTCCACAAAGAGTTTATTTGGAGCCTCAAAAAAAACTGTGAAGATCTGCAGTTGTCAGGAGTTTTGAAAGGCAGTTTAGAGGGCGTTTTCATGCCTTCGGCGTCATTAAGTCCTTTGCGACGCCTTGCCGCACACTCCGCCTCTAATAAGTGGAAATTCTTTAGACTCAGAGGAGGCCATCCATTTCGACATTGCCCTTCGGCTTAACCTAATAACAACATAAGTGTCCTATCTGAAACCCACGAAATATATCTTGCATGTTTAATGAGTGGCCTTAAGGACCGTGAGCGTCGGATATGCCATGAACAGTAAACCATGGCCATCACAGTCTGGTGTGCGCCGGCAGTTCTGTGGCACCTCGTTCACTGTCGGCGTATACGTCCGCGTCCCCTCTGGGTATGCAGATCGTCTGCATGGTTGCCCAGTCATCCTCCTCATTCTGACTCGTTTCTTATGTTGTTAGTTGAAATCCTGGCCAAGTGTTTGTTAGCTATAAACCATGGTGTGTGGTGGTGCGCCCGGGTGCGGGTCCGGTCTAGCCAGCCATCTGCGCCCTCTCCCGCCTCCGGTGTTCTTGATTCTGTCTTGACACTGGGGGAGGGGGTGCAGCAGATGCTGCGCAAGTCTACTTTCACTATAAACTAAATCACGCTCAAGTGACCGTGTCTGTTGCACCTTGCTGTCGAGGACATTGTGGACATCGTGGGCCACGACGATCGAACTTTCATGATATGAGTAAGTCTGAAAGCAAAGCATTAGCGTCGTAGTACACATGTGAGACTACCATGCCCACCGTTTTACATTAACCCGACGGTGCGTGTTCGAAGGAGCTCCATGCATCATTTACTACCTATTTACTTATCCATCTTGACTGCTAACCTCTCAGATAACCAACTTAATTGTTAGACTGTCCAGATTGGTTGAAACAGTTATTTGTGCTACAAGTTCACCAGATGTTTAAATTTTTAAAAAGATCGTTTTTCTGAACACCGGTGCAGCCAATAAAATTGGAAGGGCCGGTAAGAAATGTTTTTTATGTGAGCATCAAAGTCAGGGAGCAATACGAATTTCGGCAATCAATTTTTTCTAATTTTACTTTTACTTCACGGAAATGTGAACCCCTCGGTATTATAGGTAACGCGGTTCTATATCCCAGGGTCAGCGTTGGAGGGGGAGGCGTGCAGCAGATGCTGCGCAAGTCTTTTATCACTATAAACTAATTCTTGCTCAAGTCACCGTGTCTGTTGCACATTGATGGGCATCGTGGGACAAGACGGTCCAACTTTCGTGATATGAGTAAGTCTAAAAAGCAAAGCATTAGCGCCGTAGTACACATGCGAGACTACCATGCCAGCGGTTTTGTATTAACCCGATGGTACAAGTTTGAAGGAACTCCCTGCATAATTTGCTACTTATCTGCTATTTATCCATCTTGACTGCTAGCCTCTCAGATAACCAATGAAGTTGTTAGACTGCCCCGATTGGCTGAAACAGTTATTCGTGCAATAAATTCACCAGATGTTTAAATTGTAAAAAGTCATTCTTTCTGACCACCTGTGCAGCCAATAGATTTGAAAGGAGCCGGTAAGAAATGTTTTTATGTGAGCATCAAAGTCAGGTAGCAATATGAACTTCGCCACTCAATTTGTTTCCAATTTCATTTCTATTTTCAGTAGACCGAGCACGGAAATGTGAACCCCTCGGTATTACAGGTAACGCGGTTCTAAATCCCAAGGTCAGCATTAGGGGAATCAAGATGAGAGTTAGGCCTAGTGGGTCGGGTTGGTTAAGGATTAGAGTTAACGCTAGTTTATAGTAGTAATTGTAACCCCCGTGAAATTCGTAACGAAGCCAGCTGTAGCGTAGGATGGCCCAAATTTCCACGTCCGACCCATCGGCACCATTCGAAAGCATGATAGCTGTTTTACTACTTTTTTTAAAAGGGGACTGATCTTATGAGGATTTTGGTCTAATTTAATTATTTGCGAAAACGTTTCAGGCAAGAGGATGCTTTTTGACCGAGGTTACTTACTCCGGTGAGGAATACTGCTAAAAGAAAATGATGGGCGACATTTATTTGTACGCGATAGAAAAAGAAATAAAAAGACCTCGCGGTGGCTGTTGTGGTCAAGACGCTTTAAGGTAGTCATCGGAGTAAAAATACGGCTATGTAATATCTTTTTTCAATGTCTGTAAACGGGCATTAAATGCAGTTTCTACTATTATTAAATGGTAGAAATAGTGTTCCCTTTAAATTGGTAACAATATGGAGGATCAAACTTTGCGACACGTTGATGTAATTAGATGTTCATCTGTTTTGCCCCCCAGAATATGTGACCCCGACCATTCCCCTGCCCTTTTCAATTTTATCAGTATATTTTTAATGGGGGCGGCGCGTATAAAGACCCCCTTTCACATGTGAAAGTTGCTTTGCATTAACAAATGTGATTAGTGGTGTTAACAAACAAGAAAGGTTCTTGGTGCGAAATTTCTGCATACAAATGGGCCTAGCCGAAGTGACCGGAAGACGGTGTCAGAATGTTTTATCAACAGTTGAGAGATGAGCCCAGTGTCACTCTTATTCCATTTAAATCCTTCCGTCATATAATATTTTTTTGCTTACCAAATATCGCAGCATAGCTTCTCCGGTACGCAGTTGTACGTCGCCTACACCAGAAGCCCTCTAGTCGAAATTTTCCTGAAAATGAGCCTATCTATTCTGCAAAATATTGAATGATATCTGTGTGTAAAAACCCCATCCGTCGTATTCTGGTATGCCTAATTCAGCCTGAATGCTCTCTTAAGCTTTATTGGTATTTAATCTTGTATCTGGCACGGATCTGTGAATATGGATTACTGAAACAATTAGAGTTAATTTCCCAGACATTTAATGGGGGTTCTTATTTGCGCCATAAGTCAAAAACTTTTGTAACCTCTGTTTACAAGAAGCTGTGTATCTCCAAATATTACAAACTTTGTAGCAGGTACATGCTCAGCTGGTACACATAAGTTAAACAACCAACCGACATCCCGAAAGTAACCGTATGACGTTTGGTCAGTTTTTATTGGTTTTTCTGTTTTCTTCGGCCTCGATTATGTTTTAGCATCTAATTAGTCGACAGATGCGACGAATGCCCTGCATCGTTGGTCGGCGGTTCAGACAAAAACCATTGAGTCTGTTAACATCTTTTTTTTACAATGACGCCTTACTTTTCGGAACATCACTTCGGAGTGTCTTGCGTAATTGAATTGTATTTTTTGAATTTGTGGCCATTTCTGGTCAAGCGGACACGTCCGTCGAGCAGGATCACACGGACGAGTCGTCCGCCGATGTCGACGCCAAAGTTTCTTCCGGTGAACAAACGACAGTTCGTGTATCAGGCGGGGCAGCTACTGAGGATGTCGACGAAGACAAAACGAGCGTTGCAGAGGATCCAGTCTCTGCCGTTGTTGACCAAAAATTACCGGATCAAAGAAACCAGGTGCACGAGGAACCGATGCAACTCACACAAGGCCAAGGTGTCTCGGAGGAAGGGCCTGACTTGACGCCATCACATTCCCTGCCGGACAATTCAAATGGACGGGGCATAGAAGCTGACGGTTAGTGACCTTCTTTTTATCGCTCATTTGCCCTCACGGTAGAAAACTGCAAGGATGATGGCACTTCGTAGGTTTGGCATAAATAAATGAACAACCATGAAGTCGTCGAAACAGTAATAACGACATAGGAATCCAGTTCCATGAAACTAGTGAAGTGAAATAACTTTAAGTTCAGTGGATAAATCGTGTTGATTTCACACTTTTAAACAGCAAAACTAGGCGAAAACTAAGACAGATGTTTGTATGGCTTAAATATAAATCAAAACAATGATAGGGGGCACTCACCGATCGTTCATACGGAACTCACTCGTTCCGTTGTACCTTAAGGGTACAACGACAAAGACAAAGACAAGGGACAAGACATTCTGCCTATATATCATGCGCCGCTGTGCGGCTGCTGGTTGGGCTCGAGAGAGAGCCCTTAAGGCACAGCGGAACGAGTGAGTTCCGTATCCACGATCGGTGAGCGTCCCCTAACATTGTATATTCCCGATCGAAAACCGACAGGGCAACGGGCTCGTGACCCGGTGAGTAGAGGCGTTGACTTCTAAACCAACAGGTCGCGAGTTCGAGGCTCGGGTGTTCCACACTTCGGGCTTGGGTATGGCTGGCTGACGACGGCTAATAAGCCAGAAGTGGCCGTTCCGGTCTCCCTTGTCTTTGTCGGTAATACCATTCTGCCTATAAATCAAAACTTTTACGCCATGCGGAAGTCCATATAAGTCCTTACAAGTACAAGAAACCCCATATTAACTCTAAATTAGACGATACGTGGGCATCATTGAACCTATGACACAAAGTGCGTAAGAATGTATATTTACTATTTGAAAAACGCGCAAAGGATGAGTCGCGTCTGTAAAGAATAGCATAGAGGCTGCTCATGTAGCCTGAGGCGTGCCATCGTGAAAGGCAGGCGAGCGTACCTTGGGGAGTTTACAAATGGACTCAGTTTGTGGACATCCTAACAACAATTGCTTGATTTTCGGTTAGTCCTCCAGAGGTGCTGATGGTAAAACGATCGGCCACTGTCCCACGAATGAAACGGCATTTTCCACTGAAAGTGCCCTTTTTGGAAATTGATAGTTGGAGTTAGGTAGGAAAACAAAAATGTCGACAGCGATGAGGGTCGGAAAATTGTAAAAATAAGTTTCCCCGAATTTACTACCGTTGGCCCATGGGGTTATATAACAGTGTTTTGGCCCGCCAAATACTCTTCCCCTTTATGGCATCAGAGAACTCGAGTACTCTAATGGCGCCAAATAGCAATAACGCGACTGACGTCGACGGACAGAGAAAAGTACGCCTTAGTTTTGAAAACAGTTATTTAGGATTTTCATCAAAACCGTCTTGCATCCACCGTAGTTAGAATACATATAAACGAATAACAGGAGAGTAAACGACTTTCCATAAAAATGTTTAGCTACTAGTGGGACAGTCAAAGTCTCCGGAAATGAATTAGAGACTTAAGATGCGAGAAATGCTCATACGGATATGCAGATTGATATTGCCGACAATGACAAGGGAGGCTGGAATGGCCATTTTTAGCTTATTGGCCGTCTTCACCCAGTCGTACACAACCCAGAAGTGTGAAACCCCTGGGGTTTGAACCCGCGACCTGTTGGTTGGAATCCCACCGCCTCTGACCACTGAGCCACTGGCTCGTTGTTCGGCTGGTTGCGGTCGAAAATATTCAATGGTAGTGGGGTGCTCACCGATCGTTTTTAGGGAACTCACTCGTCCTGTGGTGCCTCACGGGCTCTCTTTCGAGCCCAATCAGCAGCCGCACAACGGTGCATGATATATAGGCAGTATGTTATTACCGACAAAGGCAACAGGGGCTGACATGGCCATTTCTGGCTTATTGGTCGCCGCTAGACCGTCATACCCAACTTCGAACTGTCGAGCATCTGGGGCTCGATCCCGAGACCTGTTGGTAAGACGTCCAACGCCTCTAACCACTGAGCCACCGTCGCCCGTAACACGATCGCTGAGCTCCCTTCTACCACTGGATATGCAGAAGCGCGACAAGTGAAAATGCCGAAGGCCACATCGAATGGAACGGAAAGACTTTGCAGCAATGAATTCGGAAAACACCTACCAGACTCCAATCAGCAAATTAGCTGACCGTTGTGAAATGTCGTTGTGCATTAATATTGACTGGAAGAGCCAAAGAAACGTTTACAGCAGATAAACGTATTTGTAGAACGCATCTAAACCAAAACGGGAAACAAAACAAAACAATAAAAGTATAGATGCGAAAGGAACAGGAACGTACAGTGTAATAAACAAATCTTCGAATCGTGTTAAAATGGATTTCGACAGGAAGGAAGAGTAGGAAATTTGAAAGGAGAGTAACACCAAGAATGCCAAAGTATTCAGGAAGCGAAAGTGGTCGCAGTCAAAGCACCTTCGCAACAGATTTCGGGTTGTAAATTAGCAGATAATTTTCCAATGATAATACGGAGAAATCATCCAAATCATCCTTCAGGAACTTGAAGTGAATGTGATTTTAGTAGGGTGATCTCGGCAGTTTGTCCGTCGTTACCGACGATGTCCTCCGTGTGCACCACAAAGGTAAGCACAGAGACGACGACTGCGGAGAGATCAGGTGCGGTTGCTGACAAACAACCGTCTACGCATGACACACACATGATGGGTTGGGTCCCACATAAGTAGGGGTACCATAGGGACTGCCTGAGAAAGAGGCTATTGCAGCATCCTCCTTCGTTTCCACAGGCAAACAGGTTTATCCCGTCGGTTAAAAACCTTTCCGTCCACGGATAGTAATGCATCGTCATAGGCAAAAGGTGCGTCAGGTTGTTTGATGTGAGGCATATGCGCTGAAAGTCATGGAAATCGGGTCCTCAAAGTCGACCTCAACGTTTATCAGGCACCAGCCAACTGTCCAAACCGACCAGCCATCTGTTGTGGAGATTGGGCGCAAGTAGCCTACATGGCATGCGGCTGCACCTAGGCGTGCCATGACACCTCGGTGTGTGTGTGTGTGTGGCATTCTTTACGGTTACGCAGCCAAATTAACGCTGGTCTTACCGGTATGTTATTACGTACAAAGACGAGGGAGACTGGAATTGCCACTTCTGGCTTTTCTGCCGTCGTCAGCCAGTCATACTCAACCCCGAAGTTTGGAACACCCGAGGCTCGAACTCGCAACCTGGTTGTTAGAAGTCCACGCCTCTAACCACTGGGCCGCGAGCCCGTTGCCTTGCTGGTTTCGATCGGGAATATACAATGATAGGGGGCACTCACCGATCTTACCGCTGGTCTTACCCCATATTGGTCTAACGCAGCTCCCGCATGGCCCGTTGACGGAGACACATTAGATGGCTAACAACCGTATTGATATCAACCGGTCAAAAAGCCCTTGTTGCTGACCTTATATTAACCCACAAAGTTTTCTCTGCTTTATACTAAGCATCAAGATTCTTGAGTCTTCTAGCGCACAGGGATGACGTTCTCTGATGTAGCCTACATATCGGATGAACTACGAGCATTTGCCTTGGAGAAAGTTTGATCTCATAAGGCTGAGCAGTCGATTATTCATGGTTATTTACGGTATACTAGCTGAAGTCAGCCAGAGGACGTTGAACGATTCGGTACCAGTTATTCCCATAAACCGCTTCACCTCGGAGAAGCGTATAAATTTTCAAAATACAGGGCCGTATATGCAAATGAACAGGATGGGAAATTACTGTCGTTTTTGACGAATGATGATCTGACGGGTAATTTGCTAGCAATGACGAATCGTTCAGTGATTGCCTCCGAGAGGAAACGACAAAGCACCTAGACAATCATTTTCGATTGCAAGCCTCCATTTGTTGCAAAATAGTGGCTGCCTTTGAATACCCTCAGCGGCAAGGAAGGCCGAATAAATGGCAGGAATAAGTTGTCCCAGTCCACCTGTAGCATGCGTTATCGGTGGTCAGAGCTCAATTTGTTGACTGCGGTGTCAAACACCTGCATGCAGATCAACTTCAAACGCATACATTTCATCTCAGTAGAAAAGTTGACATATCTTGCTGACCATAGGTCATTAAGTCACGGATCATAGACATCCTCAAGCATACAGTAAGCTTTCGCTGTTGTCGTGAGATGTAGCGCGTAGAGGTGATTCCCTTGATGATTAAAGTAATAATTAGTGGTATCTTGCTTGGAGAAAAGACCTGCAGATATAACTTCCGTTGCTTAAAGAACGCCGTAAGAGAAAGTCATGATGGTGTTGGGTGACTATGTATGATATATTAGCAGTCGTCATTGAAGGCGGATTTGAACTATGTCTAGGAAGGAACGCCAAATGATACAGCAATAGGTCTTTAAGTCATCATCGCCTCTGGTGATAATACTTTTCGAATACAGTTTGGTGGAGAATTTGTTCCGCTCATCTCCTTAGGACCAGCATATTTGCCTAATCAGCTCTCGAATGCCCTCCAACCTCCAGAACGGATTAATCTCAGTGCATAACTAAGTGTTTGGAGGCATTTCTACCTCCGCAGTGGGCCTTCCATTGACACCGGGCTTATTTCCCTCCGCACACGTGTGCCGTTGGGAATTTTGACGTCGCCCAGCACCTGAATCCTGATTGGCTGCCTTGTGATTGTCACGTGTCCACGCGTGCACACTTAAGTCTTGCACACACCTACAAACTGTGATCAGGGCGTAGTTGTCTCAGCGAACACCCAACCCTTGGTGGAGTTAAATGGGGAACACGCAGGCAGAAAGTGGTTAGTTTTTTTAAATTACTTAATCAATGAGTAATACCTAATGTGTCATATTTTTGTCGCGGTTGATATACGCGGATTTAAAATTGGCCCGTTAGGCCAAATCCGGGAAAACTAAACGTAGAGTAGGTGGGCTTACTCATGAAATGTCAACCGAAATTCCGAAACGAGTTTTCGTTTCGAAAAGATTAATTAAGTAGGGTTGTAAAAATAGTCAGCCTGCGACATAATTCTATAATAATTCAGTTACCTCAGGATGCCGGCTTTCGAATGAACTTCCTTCGGGCTGCATGCAAAAAATACACTCTGTAAAAAATGACTACTTATATATCATGAATTTTTCTCATTATTTTCGATGCCCCTTAAAAGTCTAATTATATTTCCTGGAAAACATGCATACAAATATTCATTCTTACGCTCATTCGGTAGATAATTACGTCTTCCTTTAATTTAATATTCGAAGGAAGAGTGTAATTTGGTTTTTAAAAACCTTTCTGATTCCCGAATAATTTCGAACCTGTTCTACCGTTACACCTAGATTCTGGGTTTTCAAGGTACAAGCCGAATATTTTTCGCGTACGGAAAACCACACATTATTTACGGTATTAAGAGAGGACCATATAGGGTTCATAATATTTAGCAGTGGATTTGATCCATAATGTTAACTTTACAAGCCACATTGGTAAATACAGAGATACCACGTTTTATGAACGGCCATTTCACGGTATTTAAAAGTCTCACAATTAGAAACTTATTTGAGACCGAATCATAATCTTTCTTTGAGTGCAAAATTGAAAAAAGACGTAATTTTCTACTGAAGGAGCAAAAGAATGAATACTTTTATGTATGTTTTCAATAAAATATAATCAGACTTTTAGGGGCATCGAAAATAATTAAAAAATTCATGATACATAAGTAGATATTTTTTACAGAGTGTAGTTTTTGCGTGCAGCCGGAAGGAAGTTCTTTCGAAAGCCGGCATATTGAAGTGACTGAATTATTATATAATTATGTTGCAGGCTGACTAGTTTTACAGCCATACTTAATAAACCTTTTAAAAAAGAAAACGCATTTCAGAATTTCGGTTGACATTTCATGAGTTAGCCCAACTACTGTAAATTGTGTTTACATACTCAATATCTTTTAGCCATTAAACTCACAAATATCGTGAAATCAAGCTTTGTGGAACGCTTCGCTTTTCAGTCAACGATAACGAGGACAGTGCCTTAACGAGTGCACCAGATCAAGTTGAAGACAAAGAAGAGGTCGAGGTATTCAACAGAAAAGTTCTAAGTGAGTTTACAGATGAACAAAATGATCGATGTTCAGAAGCAAACGGTGATCTGAGCACCCATCAAGTGCAAGATGATTCCCGGGAAAGGGATGACTCTCCTGTTGCCTCCGGGGAAGCATCTACCATTGGGGAAACGAACGAGATATCGGGCACAATAAGAGAGACAGGTAATCACGTTTTTAGTTCGAAACTTACTTATCACTGAAGGAAAATTTCAGCTGGTCTTTAATCTTGCTCTGTGGTTTCACGTAGTCACTGACCTATGCTGGATTGCCTTAAGACTGATTAGACTGTCTACAATTGCTCATATGAAGGCGAATTAGTGTAGGGTGATTTCGCTGAAACAAAAACGTTTGCTAAGATGTTCATGTATCCGGAATCCGGGTCAAGTGCCCACTGCCAAAGTAGGGGCTTCACAGGCGATGAAAGTCAAGTGTACTTGGTGTTGTCAATTGTAGTGCTCATATGTTCATTGGCCCTGATTAATCGTTGGCACCTGTTTGGTGCTGCTGGCGGCTAGCCAGTCTGCCGGTTCAGCCTATCGTGGGCGCAGTTGTTTACAAGGACATAAACCCGACTGCGCGAACCACACATGAGCTGATGAAAACTGTGCTAACGGTTCATAGTAGGTTGTGGACGGACGCAAGAACACTGTCCCTCGACGTCGAAATAACGCATGATTACCTCTACTCCATTAAACGAAAATGCCGACGAAACTGTAAACGAACTAGATAAACCGCGACATGTTGTTAAATACGCGTAGCACTCTGCGTTTTTTGTTCTTGTATTGATCAGCAGATTGGACATTTTGATAACTTGCCTTTGATGAACTTTACATTCGGCTTTTCAAACATATAAGCCTTCTGGGCACCAGTAGAGAACTTAAAATTGGACCAATAAACACAGAGATTGGGAATTTACGGATAATTGAACGTTTGAACGTTTGTCCGCTGTGCTTTATGAAATCCGTTGAAATTGTTACTATAACAAACGCACCGCGATATATGCAGAATGATTATTTTTTTACTCAGTTGATTTTTTCGAGTGTTCAGATTGCTGCTGGTTTTATTACGGCCAGCGTCATATCATGAAGTCCAAGTAAATCTCCTGCGATATCGTTACAGCCGTGTCCAAGGCCTCGATTCATCAAGCCTAAAGAGGCTGACGTCTTGTTGAATACTATAAAGAACACTCGGGGTTGGCGTTCGCGTTGTGATTTACAGTACTCAATGTCAAGCAAGGATACGGAAAGTTGAAATTGGACTGTTTGGCTTATAAAAGACCTTTATCATTCTGAGTGCCGCGATAAGACTTGATGATGACTGACAGTACCTAACGCAGACATTAAGGCCAAAATGCCATGTCCATAATCAACTAAGAGTGAATTATTTCATCGGATTTTGCGAAGCAAGTGGTTTCGGATGTCGGTTGCCTGCCTCTCTACAAAATCTCGAGATCGTCCAGCGAGTGATACTTGATTGTTTTATTTGTTCTCACGTGAAAACTTAACTGTAATCAAGTCATGAATACAATCACAAAAATTAAAACTGCAATTAACTGCCACAAAAAATTTTCACAGTTCGGGACACTAAATGCGGAGCACGCATTGGCAGTTCAAAAGTGTTCGTCCATGTAGTTCATTCAACATCGAAAATATCGAAGAGGTAATCAATTCAGCCACATCGCATTCTTGCATTCCTAAATGTCTGAACATAGACATTTACACACTTTTGGAAATAAATTGATTACACAAATAAAGAAACCGCGCAAAGTGCATCGACACGGGAACCGGTTCAATCTAAAGCCACCGGAGATGACGACGATATCGGCAGGATGGAGGAATGCGATTTTACAACAGAGACGGATAGATAAACACCAACGGAACGAGCTGCTTTGCATATGGACGGGCAGCGGGGTGATCCCCCTGAAACAGATATCCCTTCACTTGCGGGCGCCGTAGCTTCGACTAATGAGGAACGGAACCAGACATCGGATGTGATAACTGAGCCGGGTAATGGCCAGTTTAATTTACACATTTTCACTCACATCAGAGTCGTGTCAGGTTGGATGGGGGGTTCAGCTGCAGGAAGTCAACCTCTGATAATAATTCCGGTCAGTTTTTTCTAAAACAAAGTTTTTTGCCTGCAGTAGAGAATTCGCTCCTAAGGACATTTGGAAACTTACTGTAAACTGAGAGTTAAAACCGACCAATAACCGCAGCGCTGTGGCTGGATTGTACGTGGCTGTCTCAGCTGCTAGGCTCTGTGCTGATTGGATGCCTTCTGCCTCACCTGCTAGTCTCTGTGCTGATTGGCTGTTTTCTGTTTCATCTGCCCTGACTGGTCGTCGCCACCTTATTGGGGCCACGACGGAAGCGAAATTCGTGCGTGGTCAGCTGGCGTTTGGGAGGGAGTGATTGAGGCCGCAGGGTACCGCGGGAATTTGTACATGGCGAAGTTAACGTAAGCTGCATGTACCCTACTGTATCCTACCACACTCATCGTCCTCCCGTGAAAAGGCAAAATAAACACGAACAGAGATTTAAATGCTCTAGCACCTCTATATACTGTGAGTGTTCTTATATTCCAATTCTCTTAAACGTTGAACCTTACAGACATACGTCTATCATCTTGAAGTACAGGAACCTCTGCAAAACAGGACAAGATTGTCATCTCGGCTTGCAAGAAATGTGAATCCACATACGGCGAGAGTCAGTTAATGAAGTGTTGTTAAACAGCTCCTCAGGCGTGACGAATAGGAAGTCGTAGAGGATGCGATGGAACCATGAAACCTGACTGAGCGCCCAAGAGACAAATGCAGTTTTTGTAAATGTACCACAAGATAAAACAGCCCTGACAAAGCACAATGTCACGGCTACCGGCACCGCCAATTTGTATAAAAATCAGATTACAAGGGTGTCCTTTCCGCGAGCGTTCAGAACTGACTGTGTGCTATTGACAGTAGGCTAACGTAGCTTAACTGTCGACCGTCGAGTCACTGAGACAACGGCAGCAATACGAAGGCAGTGCATAATTTATGCTTCCATTAAGTTGGCCTTTTATAGCAAGGCATCGTGAAGAGCCTTAACAGCAGATACTGCTTTTGGCTTCGAACCGTTTCACAGATCGCTCTTTAACTTTCCCGTCCAGCGAACCGGACAGCGAGTTTTGGAAATGAAAACGCCTCAGAAAGACTCAGTCACCAGAGCGTGACGCATTATTGTCTAACCATCACCACCACCACCACCACCACCACCACCACCA